ATTCTTCCTGACTACAGTGAGCCTAAAACACTATCCTCCAGGTATAAACAGAGTTTCATGAGCTTGGAGCACTGCTGCATCCAGAGGGGCAGTTGTCCACCTGGTAGCTTCCAGGTAGCAAACACATCCTTCTTGGAGCAGTGAAGGAGATGGAACTTGGCCTACCTGGTTGCCAGCTGCCTTCTTCTTGCTCATCTGGCTGCTCCTCTGCTGAGCACTGCAAACAACAGCAGAGATATTCAAAACTCCCCAGGCTCTCCTTGACAATCCAAATCCTGCTCCCATCAGACAGCTGCGACAGTGAGTTCATGCCCCTCACCACTGGCTTCCAAAATAATTTACTTCCATTTACTCTCTTAGCCTGGTCTAGGCATCTTCTCACTCCCACCTGAACCACACTTGGGTCATTAACCCTCCACAGCTGCTGCTTTTTTCCCCTCTGACACAACCCAAATACTCTTTAACTCCCCTATTCTCCTCCCCAGCCTTGCAACATAGAGCCACTGAAAAACAAACAATACTGCAAGCTGAACCATACTTTGGGACCACAGCATCTGCACCAGGGCCTTTGCAACCCATTTACTGGAGCAGCTATAGGACAGAGCCACAAGAAACACATGCAGAGAAGAGGAGGCAGCAATAGGACATAGGTGCTTACTTGGCAAAGCCAATGAAATCCTCGTGGTTTGTGTTCATGTAAGCCAGCTCGATGTCTATTAGAAGCATGACCTGCCAGAGAGAGGCACAGACACAGCAAGACAGGCGTTAGTGCAGGGCAGAGAGAGCCCTGTACATCGTTCATCCCCTGAGCCCTCTGCAGCCAGACCCCCTTTGGCTCAGGCCCCTCTAGCCTAGACTGTCCCTTCAAACGTGTGCCCCACCCAATCTCCCCTCTTACACACACTCCTGATCCCCTACCTGATCTTTGGTCCTGCCTTCTCTCTCACGGATGTGAGTAGTAACAATCCTCTCCATTTCCTCACGCAGGTGAGGGTACTGGCTGAGCTGCAGGAGAGAGAAAACACGTGCACATGGGAAAGGGAGGTATAAAGGGGGGAGCAGCCCCCCACATGTATGCATGCATACGTACATTACACCCTGCAACCAGATATTTTAAAGGGAAGTTCTAGAAAGCTGGACTTGCAGACAGATTTTTTTTTTTTCCAAGTTCCTGGATGTCTGCTGGGGGCAAAGTTCTTTTCCCCTCTTGCTTTGAGCTTCAAAGAAAAACCCTTTTCACTCCTGCAGCAACCTTTCTGCCTCACCATAGACCTGCTCCAAACCCACCACATTCTTCTTGGCATGAGGCTCTTGCCAAACCCCAGATGCAAACGCACTGCTTATTGCCTGTTGGGTTTTACCCACGGAAGCGAACAATTTCTCCAGGTGTTCAGCATCTCGTTGCAGTAGGCTAAGCTGCTGAATGGCCTGTTGCTACATGGTGCTAAGTCCTACGGGAAGGCTCCCTAGGAAGTGAAGTGGATTTCAATCCCCATTTGCTGAGGCACTAAGTGGAAGCACCTGACCCTCTCCAACATCTGCAAGCAGAGACAGGATCTGACCAACACAAGGGTCTGTGTCTTCACAAAACACTGTGGTGTGGACACCCAGTTGTTTCTGCCTGCTCTCCACCAGTGCTGGGGCAGGATTACACGGCTGAGATCTATATTCACATCACACCTGCACCACACCTTTTGCCGTGTTACCAAGGGAATCCTTTCCTGCTCAGAGAAGAAAGACTTTACTACCTGTGGTTCAAAAGAAGAATCTCTACAGAGATCATACATGAGAAACACTTCCAAACCCAGCACCCTTAAAGCCCTCTGGGTTCCACACAGCATCTACCCTGCGCTTGCTTAGATTCATAACTCTCTAGTGATTTCAATAGCGGTAACTATGGTCAGGCCCAGCCCAGAGGAATTAAATTCATCCTCCAGGCCCAGGATCTATCTAGTCCTTTCTTCCCCACTTTGCTTATTTCCTGTGAAATAATCTTCCCATTTTTATTTTTAATTAATAGTACCTCCAGTTTGAGTATAATGTCAAATAGCATTTCCTAATATCTTTCATATCCCCTCAAGGGTGTGTGTGTGTGTATATATATATATATAAAGGAAATCTCATTTGCCTGTGCTGTGTACTGCATTTGCTTTGTTCCTCCAATTTACAGGATGGCTTCTTCTTAAACTGGTTTGGCTTTTGTTCTGTACAGATAAGCAATTATAACATGCTAGAAGGAACTGGCTCAAAGCATGGCAGCATCACTACTGGAAGCCAGATCCCACACTAACCAACACCAATATTCCTAACATCTAACTGCAAATAGTCTCAAACCCTTTCAGCACCCTTGCAGTCAAGAAAGTTGCAATAGCCTGGAACTGAAACTGAGGGCTAGATTTGACACTGGCTATTTTCAAATGCATGGTTTGTTTTGAATGCCAATGACTCTACAGAGGCAGGAAAAAACAAGTGGAATTTGTGTTCTCCACCACTAACTTGTCTTGAAAGCACAAATTGGGTGTTCTCCATGATCTTTATGGTTCAGGCAGCTGGTTGCTTCAGAGACACACAGGCAAAGCTTCCTGTTTCCTTGGGGGGTTGGCAAAGGATAGATGGGCAAGTTATGTCAAACAGAAAAACAGGAAGTTGGAAAACTTCTAAGCAAGTCTCAGCTTCTTTGCTTCAAATTAAAAAAAAAAACAACAATCAAACACACACATCAAACCTCCCCCCACCACCCCACTCCCAACCAGCACAAATGTACACCAAGGGCAAAACAAGTTGTGGTTTATCCAGAACCCAGGTCACCCAGCAACATTCATGTGCAAAAATAAATCAACAGCACCAGTCCCCATGCAGGAGCTTCCAACCCCAAGCGTGCACAGGAGGAGAAGCAAGAGTGGGCAAGGAAAGAAGACACAGACAAGCTGTAGGACGTCACACCCACCAGGGAACATGCAATAGGGCACAGAGGGGCAAGGAGTTATCACCAGCGGTACAAACAGCACCCAGAAATGCCATGACTCTGAAAGACAGGAGAGCAGGCGACCCTTCAAGGGGTTAAGACTGTCAGCCTGGGATCACACCCCAGCTCAAGTGGGTTTTCAATCCTGTTTAATCAAAATACAAGTTCACAGCCCTCTTTGAAAACCAATTTGTCCCAATGGTCCTCCAGCCCCCTCTTTGCAGATTCCAGGAGTCCTTGCCAGCACACCAAAGAACAACCTTTAGCTGAAGGGCTGCCAATGTGCAAGACCTTCCTGCACTTGTGAGATGCTGCAGTGCAGCCTGGCACAGAAGGTTCCTGCATTTGGAAAAACACTAGCTAGAACATTACCCTCCTAAATGTAAGGCCTTGCAGATTTCCACCAGCTTCTTATTTTGGAGCTACTCTCCATTTAACCAACTGCAAGAGGCTCAGAATCATGCCAGTCAGAAAACAGCTGTTAATGGCTACCTTCTCTTCAGCCCTCAACTTTGCCTAATAGTCAAGAGAGAGTCAATTGAAAAAGTCTCTTTCCATACAGGAAAGCTGAACTTCTGTAACACACAAACAGATGGGTTTGCTGCTTTCTGTGTGCTTTACTGATAGCCTCATATTCCATCTATGCAGCTTGATCAACCGCACATACAAAGATTTCTTCACCATCTGGGGTGAAGTGAAGTAATTGTGACAGCACACAAACAACAACACAATAGCTCAGGACAGCAACAAATCAAGGCTACAGGACTGTTAAGCTAATTCAAGAGGTGTGAGCCCAAGCGGTCTTCTTTTCAAGAAGCCTTGCAGGACTTCTAGTGAGTTTAAAGGTTTGGTTTTGTCATCTGAAAGGCAGCATCAGTCCACAACCCAGCAGCCTGGGTATTACCTTACAATTAGCATCAGTCCTAAAGTAGCCTTTTCAAGATGCCTCCTCTAATAGCACATGCTCTTGTCCACATCAAGCAGTTCAGGCTATAACATGCAAGATAAATATTGCAAATTAACTGATGTCCCTGTGCAGCTACTACCCTTTGCCTTATGCTGCCAGAACCCATCTCAGGCCAGCTGCTGTCCTAAAGTGGTCTATGGCAGTAGCCTTCTACTCTTTCAGAGGGAAATACGGACAAGATTAACCTTCTCACTGCATGCAGGCATTTGACTTTAAGCATTATCCAACTCTCCCTTTTATTTTCCAGGGCTATATATTTTGATTCAGGAAGTTATTTCTCATCTCCAACATCTGCCTCCCTGGCCTCCCCAGCTTTTATTACAGCAATTATTCTGCTACAATGTCACTGCTACTATCACCTTCCTTACAGGAAATATCTCAGTTGCATCATCTTGGAACACCCTCACAGTGTCTTCCACAATATCATAGATTAAAATCCACAGAGCAAGTGGGCATCCAGCCACTCTAACGATCCAACAGAGAAAATGGAATTCAACACCCTTGAGGTTTTCACGGTTGTTCTCCCTCCCCATCCAGAAGCTACATCTCCAGCCAGATACAGAGAACAGAGCAGGCAATCAAACCCATCAAAAGAGAAAATGCACAAGAGAAACAGACTGGAAAGGAGTTCCTCTGCCTTGCCTCATGAGCCCCCACACTCTGGCAACAGCAGGACTTTGCAAGAAATAGACTGGGCAGAGCTTGAGGCATGTCAGAGATGTCTCCTTAATAGGGGTGGTGCTAAGCTCTGTATTGCAAAGTACACCCAGAACTTTATAGCTCAGCTCTCACTTTCACTCTGAACTTCTACCAGTTCCTGTCTTCCCCTCCTTCTCAATTTAGGGGTATATGTTGGCAAGTCTGGCTGTAACTGTGGAGGAAGGGAATTGTAACTTTCAAGTCCTGAAATAACTCATGAACCAGCCCTTTCCAACACAATTTCCAGAACATACTTCTGTCATGCCACAGACCTATTTCTGGCCCCTCACTGGTAAGTTTAGCGCTAATTGCCACATCTGCCTTTTTTTTTTTTTTTTTTTAAGGAGGCATGTGGTGCCCTCTCCTGGAGGAAACCAGCTCGAGAAACAAACCCACTCCTGCCCCAGCCCCTAAGCAGTGTTTGACACCCTCCTGGGCCGGTGCCCTCTCCACCTGCTGCTGCCCTCTGTGAGCCAAAAGCTTCCCCTTCACATCGCATAAGAAGTGTCCACACTACCTCTCACTGAGCATAGTCCACGGAGCCAGAGATCAGCAGGAGAATGATTCAGAGGGTGTAATGCCTGGAAAAGCTTTTCCTCCGAGTCTTTCGGGACAATAATCTTCTGTCTGCTCTGAGTATCTCTTGCAGAACATCTTGCACCTCAAACTTGTAATCAATTGTTGTTTTGTATGTGCTACTGCTCAACATAGCTCTGCAGACGATACCTGCAGAGTACTCGTGCTATGGGAATGTGAGGTCTTTTTCTGTTTTTTTTATCTTTTTCTAGGGTATCTGGAATCTTTTTAAGGGGGTCCCAGAAAAAAACCAAGATGTTCCAAATCCACAGGAAGTATCACCACAAACAGGGCTTTGATCCACACTGAGGTAAATGTCGCTGAGCCAGACAGGAAGAGGGTATGCTAGAGTAACCCACTGGATCCCAGCTCATTTCTCAGCTAAAGAGCCCATCAGCTGATGCTTTTATACCTGCAAGTTGCTGCTTCCCTTTAGATGCACCTTCATGTCCATTTTCTCTCACTAGGTTTGCTGGAGTTCCTTGGGGGAGGGTGGAGAAACTGCATGGAAGTGTGTGGGAAGCGGGTGGGCATTGACCTTTCTTTGCATTTTTTTGTTTCTTTACCTTTTCGCTACACTTTCTGATGGTGGATGTGAGCTCACTCACTACCATATCCACACACTTCAGACTCGGCTCCTTCAACTTCTGCACCTGCTTTTTCACTATGGCTTCAAAAGCGAGGTCAGGCGTGAAGAGACCCGTTCTGCATGGCAGGGGCAGGGTGGGAGGAAGCAACGAGGAAGAAGAAAGCAAAGCAGAGAAAGAGCAGGAAGGAGGAAGAAAGAGAAGGAAGGAAAAGGGAAAAGAGAGAAAACACAAGGCAAAATGAGAAGTGAGATTTTGGTTCATTCCATTAAGTTTATTGAACCAGGTGAGCATTGCTATGGGGCCTGTGCACTGCCAAGTATCAGGAGAGTCTGCAGGCAAATGGAAGCGGCAAAGGTGCGTGGGGTAGGAGCAGCTGAGCCAGTGAAATGGGGAGCTGTCAAGAGCAAGATGAATGGATGGAACCCCCCAGGGATCAGGTGATCTCTTCCTGAAGGAAAGCTGCTCTGGATTTTAAGACAAAGCTGCTTGCCATAGTGAGCCATGACCTCTCTTCCTAGAGGCTCACCATGCCTCATTTCCCTTTGTCTCAGGCATTTTCCTTTCCTTCCTATCCCAGTTATCTCCCCTTCATGATTTTTTTTCCTTATTCCAGCTGTAGGAAGCCCAAACAGGAGCCAAGCTAAGACTTGCAAAGGTCTGTCACTTGCATCTTGGTTTGGCAGAATTAAACTGAATCCAAGTCTCTTAGTTTCATGGATTCAGACAAACTGCTCCACTTATGAAACATATTTCATCTCACTCACCCTCCCCTGTAACATTAACTTCGTCAGTAAGAGCAGATGTACCCAGTATTTAGAAAATGCAAACATGCTACAGGGTACCCATAGCTATACAAAGCATCCATTCTGCTCCAGCTAACCTGCAGCATCAGATCCAATCCAGGTCAGTCACGGTTTACAAGGAATTATTAATTTCCACTGATACTATTTAAGTGGCCTGTATTCTTAGTGGCTCCACTACAAAAAACCCAGGAAGTCCACAGAAATAAAGTTACTAAAATATAACCAAGATTAATCCACTTTAAGACTACTGCACCCCAAGAAGTTTTTCAGCACATCTTTAACACTTTAGAGCTTCTAGCAGGATGCTCTTTGTAACACAACCTGAGCAACGAAGAAGTTTTTCGGCACATCTTTAACACTTTAGTGCTTCTACCAGGATGCTCTTTGTAACACAACCTGAGCAACTTGTTCCAGCACGAGGCGTTACTGCTTTGCGAGTGCTCTCACCAGGACATTGACATAGGAAGGACCTTTCTAAAGGTACAGCTAATATTTGAACCTGGGGTGCCTACAGCCAACAATCCCTCCAGGGCTAGCTATAAATAAACATCACCTCATTTAAATCGGGTATTTCCTCCCTGTGGGTAACACCTGTAAGACCACAAGCAACATCAGTATTACACTCTTCAAGCAGTATTACAGGACCTACAACTAGAGTGCCTTTAAAGCAGCAAAGAGTTGGATTCAGCTTCACTCAAGAGTCTTTCTCAAGGTTCCAACAACACCCCTTTTGAGCAAAGCAAGCGCATTTCCAGAGTTATATTTACATACTCTGACTCAACAGAAGTTTTCCACTAATCCAGTTGCCCCAAGCTCAATCCATACACCGTTTCCCTCACTTTGTGGACCTTGAACAAGAAAAAGATATTTTTAAAGAGTCACTCCCTTCCAGTACCTGAGTATCACCTGTATGACAATATTTTGTTTCTTCAGATACACAGTTGTAACCATGGCTACTAGAGCACAGGCAAAGGAACCAGCACTGAAGTATCAAATTCATCGCAGTGGGATCTAAGCTAAAATGGAAGATCTGACATTTCCTCTCATCCCTGTGGTCTCTTCTCCTCCCCTATTTCCCACCCTGCTGTACCCACCACCTGATCACTTAAGGAACCTGCTGCTGTCAGAACAGATGGTCTATTCTGAGATTGTCACTAAAAGAGGAAAGAAAAAGAAACAATGAAGAAGGAAGTGGAAAATGGAGGGAAGGATGCAAAGAGGAAGAACAAATGGGAGATTCTGAATAGCAACTGATGGATGGAGAACAAATCAAGAGAAGCTTCAGAGGGCATGAAAAAGGAGGGCCCTTCTGATCCAGTTAGCAGGCGACTCTGGATACTTGGCAGCCCGAGGGCCTGTGCTTACCTGTCGCCAGGCTCTAATGGCAATTTTCTGGGTGCTCCCCACAGTCACACACCCCAAGAGAGGACAGCAGGACAGAAGAAGGAAGCTCCTCCAGCACTCTAGAAACCTGAGCAATCACTGCATCCACTTAGTTTTCCCAGTCTGTCCTGGGGCACAAAGCATGTGCCTGCATGCCTGAGCCCTCCTATAGAGGCTCTTGGCCCTAAGGCCTAGGCAATTCTGCAAGCAAGGCAAATACCACCACTTGGGCACCTTTCCCCACCCTTGCAGCGACAGGGAGCTCCTACAATGCCCATTTACCTGCACCTGAATAGCCAGTGGTGATTCCAGTCTCCAGTGCCCACACCACCATCCTAACTGAGGTGCCTTTTCACCAGCACCTAGCCCCGCCTGAAGCAGCAAGCCATGGCTGAGAGGAATGGCACAAGTCATCTTATCTTGCTGTCTTTCAACCCCGATGTTAGAAACAAAAGCTGCCATAATCCAAAAGGCAGAACCGAGGCAGGTTCCCTTTCTAGCCCCAACAAATACCGGTATGGAAACCAAAGGGCAAAACCTGAAGCCCTCTCTCAGAGAGTGCAGGAGGACCCCAGATGGACCTTTCTAAGTTGCTTCTTCTCAGCCATGTGCTGCTCTTCCAGAACAGGATACGGACCAAGCCAACCAGAAACCAAGCCAAACACCATGGGAATGTTTCCCTGAGATACAGCCCACAGCTGTAACTGCTGCAACCTCTGAAGTTCAGCCCCATATGCTCTCCCAGCAGCACCCAAAGGGTAGCTTGGGATTGAATCTCCCACTTCTACAAGAACAAAGGGGAAAACATTGAAATCCCAGTTTCTAGCTTGGAAAATAAACCCAGATACTAAATTTAAAGTCAAATGTGGCCATATAAGAAATACCTTTGGTTTTAGAAGGAATCATGAGTCACACTACAGACGGAGAGGTGGTAGAAACATCTCCAACACCCCTCAGCTCTGAAACGTTCAGGGAGCAGGGCCATGGCCCATGTCCCACAGTGCTTCCATTTCTGTTTGGCTTGTTGGTTGGATCGCCCAGGCTGGTACCGCTCAGGTCTAGTCATGCTGAGGAGGTGGTTAGAAACACCGAGTGTGGCTGCAGGCAAGTCCCTGCCCAGGTCACAATACTGCGCCGCAGCCAGCGAGCGGGTGGAAGGTGCCAGCTCCATGCTGCCTCTGGTTACCTTCTTGGTGCACTGTCTAACGGTATTGATTAACTCCGAAATGACCATGTCCACGCATTTCAGGCAAGGTTCTTTAATCTTCTTCACCTGCTTTTTCACAATGGTCTCAAAGGCCATGTCGGGTGTGAAGAGACCGGTTCTAAACACCCAGGGTGGGGATGAGACAAGGCAGGAGAGGGAGAAGGGGCAAGGAGAATGTCACAGCGTTACACAAACATCTTGGAGCAGGGACCACCACGCGGGGCTGGGGAGTGTCACGTTCCCCAGACAAGCTCTGAATGGAGTCTGTGGAAAATGGGGGACAGTTGGCACCTCCCAGGAAGGAGGAGCTGAGGACAAAACGGATCCCAGCTGAACAGCCATGGCCAGGCCACCATTTCACCTCAGCCACCAGGCCTAAGAGTGGCAGGAGCTAACACCTCCGAATTGTACAGCAGATGGGAGGCCTTTTCTGAAAGGTTTTCTTAATGATTAGGCCTCTAAGACATTTGATATCCTTTATCAAGTTCAGCTAGCAACTGAGCAAAAGAAAGGAATGAAAATAAAGCTAGGTCAGTGTTTGTTCACATCCAAGCGTGTAGGAAGGGCTCTGACAGGCGCCAGGCACTGCTCATCTTCCCTGGAGCATCACAGCTCAGGGCTGTGCTTGGGACAGCTAACCTCCCCTGGGGCAACGCTAATGTGTTCACTAACTACGTCCTGGGGAAACTGGGATCCTGGTGATTGGCACCCCAGTGTTCCCTCAGATCTCTAGGGGAGGAAGTGCTCAGTACAAACAACTGTTGGTTAGCATGGAGGCAGAAAAGTGAAAACCTGCATTTTGGTTTTAGCTAAAGGAAGGAGTAGTATGGCCTTGCATCCTTCTTTCTATCCTTTCTTATGTCAAGACACAAGAAGGAGGGAGAAAATGTTCAGTCACCAAGGCAGTTTTCCCTTTTAGGCTTCTGCAATTTTCACATGGGAAGAGAAAGCAAACTGACCTGGATAATTGTCCCTACTCCCAGATTCAAGTCACCAGGACGGTCCAAGGAGGTTATCCCTCCCCTTTGGCTGACCTACCGTACCTCTGAAGTCTTCAACTCCACTCAGAAGGTCTAGAGGTATTTACAAGGTTACGCAGCCAATGGCCTGCCTAGTGCGTGATACGTGCCTGATACCATGGATGTTCTTGATGGCATAGCTGATCTCCCGCCGCAGCTCCTTCTCATCAAACTCCATCTGCATAAGAGAGAAATTTGATCAGAAACTAACCAACATTTACTTGCACAACCCCAGGACACACAACAGCATGCTTCACAGAGAAGGGGTCCCGTGCCAGCACTATCACATGACAGACGAGATATTAGCCCAAGTGTTGGATACAGAGGCCAGCCACAAAGCTTCTGTTGCCAATGCAGACATCCTGGGCAAACATGAATAGCTAGGGGCCTACACTTAAAGATGTCAATCGCCAGCAGCTCCCAAGAAGCTTCTTTGAGATAAAACAATAGGATTGGAGTGCTAGATTTCTTCCTAAACCAAACCATTTTATCTCCCAAGATTTAGCATGAGGCCTTGGCAGCTGTTTTCCCAGGGAATACCACAAACAGATTTACAGTTCACACAGAAAAAAATGTTATCCAATACAAGGCAGACTTCTTGTGTTAAAGGAAGTTATTCTGCACATTTAATTTTGCACTTAGCAATTAAGCTAAAGAAATATTGTCATTTAACTATGAGAAATTTAAGTTCTGTTATGAGGACAGGGACTGAGAGAAAGCTCAGTGCTATCAGAAGGCTTCAATAAAGGAGAAAAAATAAGTAAATGAAGGTGATAGAAAAAAACATGAAACAAAGCAGCCAAAGGGAAAGACAGATGATGAAAGATACTAAGGAGACAGACAGAAGAAGTAAGAGACAAGACAAACTGGATCTCGGCAGCACCTTCACCAATTCGAAGGGGAAACGCTCATGGAAGATGCGATTAATCCTAGCTCCTCCTGACAGCTCATAGGTATCAATTTGGTCTCCAGAGCCTTCAATGCGTTTCTCAAAGTCCACAGCGAACTGCTGGACCATCCTGAAATAAAACAAAAATCATGAAGTAGAATTGTAGCTGAGCAGTCATCTCCAGGGATGGACTTGCAGCCGAAGCCACTTACTGAAGCAGAGCTTTGGTCTTGCGAGCCGGATCATCAGGGCGAAAGCTCTTGTACTCCTCCACCTCCTTCTCAATGGAGAGAAGCTGGCTTTGGAGCTTGTTCCGCAGCCCTGGCAGGGTGTCACGGATGTGGTTGGTCAATTGCTGCGCAAGAAGGTTTAAGAAGATTATAAACCTCTAGGTGGTTACTGGGAAGCGTTTGCGACCTCTGCACCACAAAATATAGAGAATTTCTCCTGTGTTCAGTCCCTCTGAGTGGTCCTAATAAGAAGTCTGTCCTAGGACAGATGCCAGTTATGAGCTGGCTGTATCCTGCCTCCCCAGCTCCTAACTGTTGTACCCCTCTATATTCGTGACCTTCATTTTACCTTCTAGTCTGGTACAAAACTCCCTTTCATACAAGCCTGCTGTCTCCAACCCAAGAATAAGCTTCACATCTAAGTATTAGCATTTGTTATTTACACCAGGGTAAAGACTATTCTGTCTTCAGATTAGCACACCACTGACAACCAAGATGGTGGTGTTAAGCCCTTTTTTCAGTAAGGGTGACAAGGCAGGATGTAAGGAGTCAAACCCACTGATGAAGGTCTAATAAGAGGGTTTCCAAAGAGCACAGCTTTGGAAAACACAAATTTAAAGATGAATATTTAAATAAGGAGGAAAAAAGACAAAGCAATTCTTCACTTAAGGGGGTAGTTCAAGTGAGTAAAGAAGGAAACAACAAGTTGCTACTGTATGAGACAGGAGATAAGACAGTCTTAATAGATAGGAAAATGACTACAGCTAAATCAATTTTGCAGCTTACTGTTAGGTACAGAGACCCCTAGTAATTTAGAAGTTATCTTTCAGCTTAACCAGAAGGACCCTGCATTCTGATAGTGTAAATGTCACGAACAAGCTATTGATTTTGCACCAGTGTCACTGAAAGGATAAAGCACTGCTCTGCCTTTCGCCTGTAAGTTCCATTATTGGTGTTAGTGTGTTTCACTGATTCAGGATTATACAAGTCAGGCTCATTTCATAGGACTTGGCACCAAAATGCCTGTTACGGTGCAGAGGAGGAAGAGCTAACAACTCCTCACTGTAGCAAAACAATGTAAAGTATTTATCAGTTTGCTGACCACAAGTTTTAGCTTTTCCTGTATTCTTCCATCTCAGAAGAGCCCTGACAGCCAGCCTAGCCATTCTTATGACATAGCAGGGAGCAGTTCTTAACAGTTGACAGTACCTGGTTCAATACTTTCTGCAAGTAGGGGGTTCCCATGCGATCAGCCATGTGTCTGTAGGCTGGGTGGGAGAGAAAAAATTTTCTCTCTGCAGCCAGAGCTGCCTGAATGTCCTTCTTGCCATCAATATCCTTCTGACTTCTGTTGACTACACCAATGTAACCTGTAAGAGTGGGGTTGGAAATTAGATGCTTGCAAGGATGAGAACATAAACAGGACTCAGACTGAGAAGCAAGTTACCCAGCTGGCGGCATTGCCAGCTTTTTCTCAGATCCAGCTTGGAACTTAACCACAAGTTATAACAGATGTTGCAGGAAGGGGATGAGGCCAGGACACCTCACAGAAGAAATAAAGGAAGGAGATCACAGACAAAGCATGAGGAAACATACCTCTACGAAGAGGAAGTAATTTGTTTTCTAATACATCTCGGGCATCGGTTCCTTCATCCATAAGATCCAGCTTAGTGATGACCCCAATAGTGCGCTGCCCTACAGAAAAAGCACAAACATACTTGATCAAGCAAACAATCAATGTAATATTTTTCCTCTGTTCACAGAGCTTACAGCTGGCCAGTTTGAATTCCCAAGGGCTCTTGAACCCAAATATTACAGTTCCCATCATGTACAAGAGGCCATGAGAGAGAAACAGACAATCAAGCTCGGTTCTCAATTATATCCTGCTACATGTGCCATGTCACAGCAGAGAGGGATTTTAGTGCAGATATGTTTTGCTACTTTTCTCCAAGCAGAATGCAGATGACTAAAGGAAAGGAAATCCTTCACCTCTTCAGAAATGGGGCTTGGACAAAGGAAGATACAACCCAAGACAACAGACAGGAGCCCACAGCTACTGGACTAATCACAACCAAAAGGTAAAGGGAAAATCAGACCACAGTCTAGTAATGTAATGCTAAATTAAGAGGTATTTACCTTGAGGATCCACCTCCTTTGCAATCTTCAGGGCATCAGAATTGGCCAAATCTGAGTTGGCTGGGGATACTGCCAGGATGAGGCAGTTCTCTTTGGTGACAAACTGCATGAGCATATCTCGGATCTGAAACTCAATGTCAGGCGGCTGGTCCCCGACTGGGACTTTTGTCATACCCGGTAGATCCACCAAGGTCAGGTTCAGAACTAGACATAGGAAACAGGAGATAGCACAAGAGAGTGTTGAGGTAGGAATGTTCTGGTCTGTAAGTACCCCCTGTAGCTTTAGTGTGTCCAATATAAAATAGGCAAAACAGATGCACACACAATTTTCTTGTTCCTTTTTGTCGCTGCTTAGTAAGAACTAGTTGCCAGTTCCTACTAGTTATGATTGTCAACCATCTCATCATCCTTCCTTTTAATTCCCTTGTTTTCATAATGATCAGGGAAACTGTGCCCTCAATGTCCTTCCCTATATGCTACACTGAAAGAGAAGGAATGACAGCACATTTTTTTTCACTTCATAACAAAAGACTGGAGAGTCAGAAGATTTGGTTCCACTCATTCAGAGCTGTCTCTGGTATTGAAGAGCTCAGTCTCACCACCCTTATTCAGGGAAGGCTCTGATCAAAGGCAGCTGGGCCTTCTCCTGAAGGACTACAGTATGTAGCCCTGTAACTGTTTAATCGATCTTGCTGAAAGAGAAAAATAAAAACTAGAAAACAAGCACAGGCTCTACCCAATCAAATGTTATGTAGCACCGAGATGCTGCCTTCCAAAAAAATGCCCATAGAGCTGTTCACATTTACAGCAAATTTGGAACTACATTGCTTCCTTGTTTAAGCAGAGTTCTTCCACTGAGATCAGCAGTGTGTGACATAGGCTCTACCTGGAGTGAACTATACAAAGCACATATTTAAATGCAAGCAGAAGGCAAGTGCTCTTGAAGAAAGCTCAACTTTTGTTGTTGGTCCATTTATTTGCCCACTAAAGCAGTATTAGAAAGCAGGGAGAGACAGCAGCTCTTCACTGTAATGCCCATAACTGATGGAAAAGAACAGTCTCAGGAACAAGGTTCTGCAGACATGAGTTCTTTCAAGGATAAGTTCTGCTAGCAGTCAGATAACCTCAGCTGGCAGAGAAACCTGCCTTAATTGTATGGTCAAGACTGACAGTTTGGTACAGGATGACCCAGGCATATGGAGATTAAAATCAAAACCAAGCACAGTCCCCATTTCATCTCATTCTTTCTGTCTTTACTTCATGACGAGGCAGCAACCTGCCTCACCTGTCTCTTGACTACCTTAGGACTCACCATGGGGAGAGTAGACTCGAAGATTGATGGGCACAGGGGAAATCCCTTTGTTGGAGCCAGTAACACGATCTGTTTCAGCCTCAATCTCCAAACGGACCTCCTCAAAATCAGTGAATTTCTTTCCTTTGCAGTGTAGGAACTCGCCATATTCTATTTACACAGAAGCAGAGAGTCAGAAGTAGACACTGAAATCATAGAAACACTCAAAGTATAATTAAAACATCCTGTCCCAAAGTAAAACAAAACAAACATCTGAAGGGATGAAGTGTGGCAAGGGCCCTTCCCACTGGAACCCGGCAGGGTGGCATAGAAGTTACTGCAGTCACGTTATCTGATCAACATCTCAGAGAATTCAGTTGAGTCCAACATCTTCATAATCTGGCTTTTGTTTCAGCAGAGGCAGAATCCTCACTTGTCTTCATTCAAGTAAAATTATGCAATGCAAACAGACTCGAGAGTCTCCAGAGAGCAAAAACCCCAACCTTGCCATGGTTTTCAATTGGCTAGTGGTTGGGGATTTTTATGCGTCAGCCCTTGAACAGGGTAACTAATCCAAGAATCCTCTGTTTCAACTTTAAAAGTCTCCTAAAACTCAAATTATCTCCTTACTGTAGACAAGAGGTCTGCCACAGATAGATCAAACTCGCCTAAGAGAGGAACAGTACCTTCAAATATTCACTTGCTGACTCCTGGATGAGACCTTAACTTACATTACGGGGAACAGTAATAAAAATGTCCTGCAAAGAGGTATGCATGGAGCCTTGCCTAATAAATTACAATGAAAAAAACTAAGAAGCATTTTGCTTCTGAATGTGTAATTAGATGTTAAACATGTAGAACTGAAAGTCAGCTGCAGGTCATTTTTACTGGGGAAAATTCTCACTTATTTTTTCCACACCAAGCAGTGTCACTGATCAAATAAGACCTTCCTTGACTAAGACATCGATCCAGCTGGACACACAGGGAAGGAAGCCCACATACCTGTGCTGGCATTCACCAGCTGCAGGACCAGAGGGCGTCTGGTTACGATGCCAGATCCACGCGGCAGAAAGTCCCTGAAACGAAACAGGAAGTTTCAGATGAGTGAGTGATTGTTTCCTTCCCTTTTCACAACTTTTCTGCTCTATAAGTACACACGGATTCTAACAGGGAGTCTCAGCCGTGGGCACAAAAATGTTTAAAACACTAAAAACCAAATGTTTGTCAAGGAGGACAAGAGCTTGTTGTTCCTAAGAAGCTGATACTCACAGCACATCCCCTCTAATCCTGTCTGTAACAGCTACAGCTCCTTCACTTGAAGTTCCAAGCTAACAAACAAACCCATTTAATACAGCTGTCGATACTTAAGAAAAAAAAAACAAACAATCTCTCTCATCAGAAAGGAAAGCGTAGTTGAAGCAGAGCCTGAAAACTAGCATGCCTCCTGTTAGCAAAACCCGATTACCCAACTACAACAAAATCCCTCACACCCTGCACTTTGGGATTTGAGAAGATACCACGCTGTTCCAGTGTGCAGACACCATATGATATATCTGAAGGATAAAGCGCAGCCAAAGGATTGCCTCCGCCAAGGGTTTCTCCTGGCTAACTACTCAACCAAGGCAAAACCAGCCACAGCAGCTTCCTTCTGTATTCACAAGAATCCTGAATTTTTCTGTCCTTTGAATCATTTCAAAGGAAGGAAGCCTTTTGCTATCTGTCTCCAAATGCTGACTTTGCAGCCACAGCCCACAAGTTCTCCTTTGCTTTTGCTTTTTCCAAGTGCATTTGAGTAAAGCTAGGCATGGGCGCTGCGTCTGCCGATGACCTTGCTAGTTTGTGGCCTCGTTTTCAAGCTCTCAGCCGTTCACGTGGCTCTTCGAGAGCCACTGAGGATTTCTGAAAATACCATTGCTTCCTTGCCTAGTGGGAGAGGCATCACTCCAATAGATGGTTCCCTCAGCCTTAATACCTACCTACATTGCTGGGATCCTGGCACACAGTCCTCCCTCCCTTGATAGCTGTGGCAATGAATAATTTTGCTAATTCAGTGGTGACTAACTAGCGAATGCGAAATCCAGGGCTCTCCATTTGAAATGTTGTGCTCTTAGTCCTGCACGAGCTTAATACCAACAAAGAAAGTGAAGATGAGGAATGAACTTTTTTTAACACGTCAGATAAGGAGTTGAGCACTTTTGTTTGACCTCCTGGTTTCCTACATAATCCCGTGCAATTTCTTCTGCTTCTCTGTATTTCCTTTTCCTCAGCTATAGGAAAGTAATTCTCCATCTGTGGGGCCATCAGGATAACTTGACAATATCAAAAGCTGCAGAGAAGTTTCAAGTGAAGGGAGGGTAAGGAGGCATCCCACAAGCTCTAATACCTCAAAAATATCTCCTATAAATTACTAAATCTGAAGCAACAGGACCTCTGGTAGAACTCTACCAGTTCAAGAAAGACTATAACCCATTCTCATTATTTCAAGACTTTTCAGAATTATAAAGAGTTAAGAGGGGTTTGTCTTTCATTTGTTTTTCAAATAATACAGCTCTAGTTTTTCCATTCCAGTGGGATTAACCCTGGAATCTTTGAGGCATTGCATCATTTTAGCAGTTTTCTGCTGTCTCAGCTTGATTCCTATAGAAGTCTGTGGTCAATATGTGAAAAAGTCCTAGTTTAGCTTCAGTTTTTAGCATAACAAATCCTTTTGAGCTGCACTGGTTTATTTTGACTTATTGCACCTGAGAAAAATGTATCCTTTTGCTACAGATTCCCCTGAGCCAATACTCTGGTTGTTGATCCCCAAATTGCAATATCAAATCCTGCTTCACTGTAGGAAAAGCACCACTTGCATTTACAGGCATGACCCTTCTTGAAATTAAGATTTCACCCATGACGTGTTCCATGTTTTCCTGAAGCTTTCTGGTTTGGCCAAAATTCTGATTTCTTTGCTGTCCTTGTCACAGCTACTAAGGCAAAAACTCAGGACAAAGGTAGATAAAAAACCTGTGTGACATATGGGTTCCAGCATTATAAAAAAAAATAAAAAAGATCCAGTTTACCATATTAACTGAAGTAGCTTCTGGGCTATTCAAAGGAAAAACCCACTAAATTCTCATACAAGACAAAATGACAAATCACCTAAACCACAGTCCTAGTGCTGCCTTAGTTCTGCATGAAAACATGTGCAATCTGATCCCTAATATTAGAAAATTAATTCTTATCCAGAAACTATTGGGAGGTACACACAGTTCAACTTTTAAGTTTTCACTACACTTGACTCCTACCAGGAATTACAGCCAAAAAGCTTTACAAAACCCCCACAATTGATGCAGTGTCACCCCATCGTACCCGTATTATTTCCTATTCTTCTTCACTTCCTTTCTCTACAGCCTCCTGGATAAACTACCTCCTCCTGCTCCAGCTATGATTCCAGCATAGCCACTAAAAAGCACAGATTAGTAAATTCTGGGGCAAGTTGGCTTGGCATCCAGGAGAAGGCAGCGTACAGGAGCCTTGCCTGCCCTTTATTGCAGGCACAATCAATTGCTTCTGTAAAATTATAACATGTGTGGCATGGACAACACAACCAGCACAGCTGAGTCCATTGAGGAGCTGCTCCAGCTATGATTCCAGCATAGCCACTAAAAAGCACAGATTAGTAAATTCTGGGGCAAGTTGGCTTGGCATCCAGGAGAAGGCAGCGTACAGGAGCCTTGCCTGCCCTTTATTGCAGGCACAATCAATTGCTTCTGTAAAATTATAACATGTGTGGCATGGACAACACAACCAGCACAGCTGAGTCCATTGAGGAGCCAGGGAAAGGATCTCCACACACAACTATTGTGCTGCTCTTTCTGGAGCAAAGTGGTGAAATTAAGTCAGAATCAGGGAAACCGTATGCGAGATAACAACCACATGCCAGATGACTCGGGCAGGTAAGAGCAGAAGGGTCAGGTAAACTGGCTTCTGCAATTCCAGCACAGGAGTTGTACGGTAGGAAGGCTGGGGGAGGAAGCAGAAGGGGGGAATAAGCCTTCAGATATAACATGCTGTAAGGCTCCAAGTGCTGAACAACAAGGGCAGCAGGGATTCCACTAGTAAGACAAGGCAGCCTCTAGCACGACATCAAAAGCTGCCTCATTACACACGGCGCTACACAAAACTTTGCGCCTTGAAGTATATTATTCAATTAGGTTGAAGGCACCAACTCCCTGTTTTCCTCCTTCACTTTGTGTAAGAGCTGAGGTGGGGTTTTCATTGCTTTGTTGGCAACGTGCAGAAGTGGCACAGCAACATCTGGTTTCCTGGGCTTTTAAGCAGGAACACCACACCGCACCGCTTCGTCAGGCTGGGCTTCACCCAGAAAATACAGCAAAGGAGCAGCTAAAGCAGACTAAGAAGCTGTATTGAGGGAATGCAACTACTTAATTTCCTCGTATCTTTTTCACTGAGCTATTGGCTCAGAATTCTCTATCAAGATATTGAGGCATCAGTTTTAGCCAAGCATTTACAAGCATTTTATCAGAGTTGGAAAACTAAACTCTGATCAGCTACGCTGCCCAAGCTGTCAGTTATTGGAAGACTTTATACAGATTTTACACTTGTCTTGACTACTTGAGAGAGGATACTGAGCCAGGTAAATTTGTGGTCTGGCTAATGCTAGATCTCCTCTTCTAAACCAAGACAACAAAAAGAGCCAAGGGTGCAAACCCTGACAGGTCTCAGGCTGAAAAAGTTCAGGCAGGGAAATGACCTGAAAAGCCATTTATTGTTATATTTTTCCATTGCTCGCTCCTGAAGTGCTTACACATGTTCTCGACTGGCTTCACAGCGACCTCAGGGCAAACCCAATCACATCATCCCTTCTAGTCTTATTTCTATTTTAGTATGCAGAGCTGCATTAAAGTACAGATTTGGGCTGAAAGCTGCATTAGTAATGCAATAGTAAAAAAAAATAAATATTTGAGGGATGGAAAACAACATAGCAGTTACTCTAGAGCAACATTCAAGCAAAATCCAAACATGCTGGAAACATGTTAAGGCAATCTTGATGTCACACAACAATACATTTATAATCAGGGTTTCCCTACTAGTTTTTTTTAAATTAAAGCCAGACACTCTGTACAAAAATCTCAATGCACTAGCTATCTTAGAATTCTACAGAAAAAGTGCTATTAATGACAGGAAAGAAAAAAAAAGGATATTTGCTCCGTAAACAAGTTTCACGCTTCCTTTAATGACTTATATAGTACAGAGGATCAGAAGTTAAAGGTAACATGGACCAAAGTCATCTCTCTCCAAGCTATTTATAAGACACAGGGGATTGACAAGCCAATTGTTTAATTCAACATATATTGTATGGAAAGGTATGAAAATGTTGATAGATGTAGTCAAAATAAGCAGGACAGAGACCCACATGAAAAGTCTGAAACTTCTTGAAAAGGCACAAGCTGAAACTTTCAAGCAGGTTTTTTACATTCATTCATTGCTGCTACATTGGAGAAAATGTGACTGTCCCCATTAAACAAGGAGACTTGCATGAGCTGGTTTGCTGCAGTAGCACCACATTCGTTCCTAAAAAACATACAAAATTTGCTTGTCAAAAAATACTTCTTTACTCTTTTGGTCACACACTTGGCTGTGATCTGATGTTTTCTTGTTAAATGGGAGATAACTAGATCTTTGGATGAAGAACTGATCTTCCAGCACCTCAGTGATCACTATGGGCACTTGTTCACCTGCTTTGTTAGAATAAATGCTCTCAAACCTGATGAAAGCGCATGAGGACTGTCTGTGCTTTGCTCACTGTCTTTGGGTTGTGCTCTAAAGCTTAGAGGCTCCCCATGACAGCTCCAGTGGCATTTCATTCCAGCAACGCAGCATTTGCTGCCACCTGCCCATGATCTTGTAGCCACGACTTTCGGAAGCGGCAACTTCCTAATAGCGAAGGAAGGTAACACTGATGGCACCCCTGCATATCAGCTCACACTGCAACTGCTTCTCAACAGATACTCTTCCACTGCAAGCAGGAGCATTGTGCATTCCCTCCTCCCATCAAATTCACCTGGAAAAGCGCTTCTGCTGGCCATCTCCTCTGCATTGCATATAGACACTGTCTACTTTTGTGCAGCTCATCGCTTT